TCTTTTCGCAGCCTCCGCTCATTTCATTCAAACGCGACAAAAACTTAGGCAATTTTTTGGTCAGAAGTTCTTTTCAGACTAATGAGCAACCAGGCACTTTTAAATGCGCTCGTGCACGATGCAAAACGTGTCCTTTCATTCACAACACTGATAAAATATCGGGACCTAAACGATCCATTAAGATCACCGATCACTTCACGTGCACCTCCGCTAATGTAATCTATTGCATAACTTGCACTTATTGCAAAAAGATATACATCGGCGAAACAGGCAGAAGACTAGGTGACCGATTCCGAGAACACCTTCGAGACGTGGAAAGGAATGACAAGGACACATCGAAACCAGTCGCTAGACATTTTAATTTACCTAATCATTCTAAGCAACATATGGCAATCTGCGGTCTTTCCTTGCACTTAGGTGGCACGGAAAGCCGTAAAAATCTTGAACAAAAGCTCATCTTTCAAACCGGCAGTCTAAATCCCACAGGGATCAATGAACGCTTTTCATTCCACTAATTTATTCATGTTTTTCTCGTTGCCATGCACCCACCAATAACGTAGCTCCATTTTCTGCCTTTAAAAGCACACACAACCCACAATTCCTCTATTCGCTCCGACGAAGGGCTAACGCTCGAAACGTCAGCTTTTATAACCGTAACGGTGGCCGATTTACCATTTTAACTTTGTTGATACATTCAAATTAACACCTAAAAAGCCAATTGTTCACGATATCTACAATTGTTTAAGCTGGCTTCTCAGAAGAAGCTGAGTGACTTTTCCATTGCTGTATTAAGGGACATTTTGACATCGATCTTTCAGATGGTTAGGAGGAAGAAGCCCTGCATCGAAAAACTGCAGTCACTTTGCGAGGAATGCGCATGTCAGCGTTGAGGAATGAGTGGCTAAGCCAATGTTATTTAACTGTTCCAACAGAACTTTCATGTAGACATGCCGTAAAGTTCGGCGGGAGCACGGGGGAAAATATTTGTCGCCAACCCGTCTACCCTCTAGGATTGTTAACGACGGCGACTGATTAAAATGAAGTGTGTTAATTAAATGTGATCCTGAGATGAAAAAAAAATTTTGCTCTTTTTCTCACTCAGTTCCGATTTTGTTCTAATAGCTATCTCTGAAGCCATTTAAGGTGGAATATCCGTGTCGCTTATATGGGAACCATTTATGTACAGATGTCGCAACCTCGTTCCCAGGGTTTCTCTTCCTCCCAAAGTCTGATAGAGTAATCTTGTCTTATTAAACTGCGACATTAATCGATGATAATTTCGAAATGGTAAACCGACTGATTACCAACAGAAAACCGACAAGTGACCGACAGTTTTTGGGGAGCTGTTCTTCAACTTTACCCAGTTTTTCATGCTATACTATTGGTGAATAGAACGGAATCCCTTTCTCTGATCGCTGGTCGCATACTTTAAAACTTAAACCTGTGAGATCGATTTATAGTTAGCTCTAAGTGCCTCGTTGGAAAAGCTTAGTTAAACTTTACTGGTATTATTATTCACAGCCGTTTGATATCGTGATAAAATGAAGTTTTGAGTGCACTGGTCTTGGAAGATTTCTCAGTATTTTCGAAACTTAGTAAAAAATAAGTAATTGTATAAAAAAACTGAGATGCGGTTTCCATTTTACTCCTATTCTTTTCTTCCAGTTCTGCTACAAATTGTTGCAGACATGTATGGAAAATAAAGGCAGACAGTTTAACATATTATTTGATTAAAAAACTTTCTTTCAGATAGGGGTTATAAACCTGGAATGTACCCTATTTCCTAAGAAGCTTTAGACAAATGGAAAATGAATCTCAAGGAATTTCCATGGTAAAGATTGTGTGTTAATCAAATACCGCAAAATACCATTTAAATTAGTTCTGAATGTTCTGATTCTCTTGATGGTTGGCCACAAAGGCTAAACAATGCTTTAGTGACCTTTTTAAAGATATTGATTGCCGTGTATGCCGGGATGTGTAAAAAGCTCATAATGTCATTAAAGTTTGTCGAGTAAATCTCTTAGAGTCTCAATCGGAATACTCAATCGTAGAAAATTGGAAGAGAAAGCCGTGGCAAATATTTACGCTAATAACGGAGATAAGTGTAAAACGAAAAGAAAGTTAACCCTCGTCATAGTCCAACCGGTATGGGGCTGCATGCATTTAATTTTGTGCAGAACGTCATGCCAATATTTTCTCGTAAGACTACTCTTGTTACCTAAGACGAATGACCAAAGAACGTTTGACTAAGGAGGCAAGACAGGAAGAATCTTAAATAATAAAAAGCGAGACATATCATGGATAGGTGTATTAGAATGAATGAAACTCCCCAAGGGAATGGAAAAAGTTGAGAAAAAGCGTTTGGTAGAGAGTCCGCGTAGTTCGCTTTCCAAGGTGTGTAGCAAAACCCATGATACTGTTAAAAAGAATAATTGGATACAAGACACGATACCTGACGGGACATTTGGTTGTTAAGCGAGGTCTCGTTATTTCAGGGTGAAGAGCCTTAATGACGACATGTTTCTAGATGGAAATTAGCTTTGGTGTAGTCGTAACCCTAAGCCATAGTCATTCGTGTAAAGAGGATCAAAATGACGCAGAACATCAAATATTGAGCTGGGCTTTGAAGAAACAAATGACCAAAAACGTGCAAACGATAAAGAAATGCAACAAAGATAACGAGAGCTGAGCTTTACTAACTATGTGGTATGAAGGGAATAGTTTTCGTCTGTCCATTGCGCTCTATTAACTGCGTGGTTGTCATTACGTGCATAATTTCTTTGAAAAGACGGACGTTACAAATGAATAATAGCATTATAAATAATAGCATTGTATTACGGTCATGGCACCACATGTGTTTTGAGTTTAACTAACAAAACAAGAGTTAAAATACCTGACAAGGATTCATTGTTCAATTCTTGGAAAGCAACAGTGGATTCACAGTAGATTCTACGGACCTTTGTTCAATTCTCCCGTTGGAAGTAAGCAAATGTTCTTCTGATGCTGGCCTTCAGTTACAGCCCGTAAGAGTTACGTCCTTTATTTATTAAACAGATACTACGAAAAGAGCATTTCAATTTGGTGTAGGGAATCAAGTGTCAACCCTGTAGGGCGGAAAGCTATGTCTAAGCCGGATGGTCGTTCAGTGTGCCATAAGGGCTAAACAATTCTTAAGTGACCTTTTAAACGGTGTCAACGGCCGTCATGTGTCTCGCAGACGTGCAACACTTCACATTTTATTCATTTAATAACAGAAAACGAAAGAAATCAATCTTAAAGTTTACTGTTTAAAGATTGACGACCGACACTGTTTTTAGCTGGTAAAATGGCCATGAAAAGACATTTCCATACTTTAAAAGCTTGCATTTCATATTGAAGAGCTATATTTGCTTCAATCACAGCTCGCGTCTCTTTTTGAAAAATCCCTCAGCATTAATTAAGATGAATATGACAAGAATCAGGTGTAAGCTTACATAGCTCGTTCATCTATGGTAAATCATTCTTTAAGTAGTTTCTTCAAAAGGGTTACTCACTCGGCAATATTTCAACTTCAAGTACTCTTGTTCATTCTCTTTCTACGTCTCCTCTCAAGAGAATGGAAAAAGAGAAAGAGAGAGTTCGCTCGCAGTGCGCTATCGATGCTTTCTTTCTCTATTTGGCTAATATTTTTGTTAAGAGTCTGGGGAAGCAGTTGTATTCTCCCTGGAAATCAACGAATATTTGAAACCAGTACAATGAAATATATGAAGTTCATATATTTTGAACTGCGGTATTAGATACGTATGATGCACGATCCTCGCAGTAGATAGCACTATTTAAGCAATAGCGAAAATCAGACCTGTTTTTCAGGTCTGATTTTCGCTATTGCTTAAATAGCGCTATCTACTGCGAGGATCGTGCATCATACGAATATTTGAAAGTTATCTCTCAAATTTACTCTGTAATTCGTCCTGAAACATACTTAGAATTTCGCAGAATAAAATAAATGCACTTGAAGATAGATTTTTGCAAAGGCATCTGTCACACATCCATCAATGAAGACGTATGCTTTACCTTTATTTTCTTAAATAGATCTCTACACGAAAATTTGCATACCAAAATCTGATTGGAAAAATGGTCTGCTTACCATAAGATAGGTATACGTTTATCAGGAGCATACCTGAGTTGTAAAATATAGTAACAGACACGAAAATTATAAATTCACATTAAAAGCGTAAGACGATACATTTGATGCTTAAACTTTACTAAGAAAACATTTTAAATGTCAATGAATTCTTGTGATTCAATTGCCTTTCTCAATTTTATATCATGTTTTGGATCGAAGAGAGTACTTAGCCCTAACTACAGTTATAGTTCACCACAAAATTTTCTCCGATTATTATTGGTTCAAATTGATCACGTGACGTGATAGCGTTCATCCGTGGAGAGACACTATCAGCCCATAGTGCCCGTCCGCGGAAAATTCCCGTATGGATAGTGCCCGTCCGCAGAAAATACCCGGATGGATAGTACTCATCCGTGAAAAATTTGAATGGTTTTACGGCCGCGAAGTTAGGCAGATGGGAAAAACGGTAACCTTTCAATTCTGACAGTTACAACTTATTATTTAGCCAATGTACGGTTGCGAGTTATTGACATTTGTGACAGGCTGTACGGATGAAAAAATATTTGATTGATCTGGCGCGTCCAAGAAAATTTAGTGGTGAACGATCAAGACAAGAGCGTGTTTATGTCTTAGAACTATCGGTCTGATAGTTGCCTCTTGGAAATTTGATGTTCTTAAAACTAGCATATTTGCCCTGGAAGCTTCGCTTCTCGGGCAAGTATTTGTTTTAAGAACATCAAATTTCCACGGGCAACTATCAGCCGATAGTTCCTCGTCAGAAACACTCTATTGTTTAACTAGTGCTTCACAACGTCAACGTTGCTCCTTAATTTTGCTGTGTACTTTGGATATGACTGATCCCTGTTAAGAATAACAACAATATGGTTTTTTTTTTTTACATAGGTTTCTTGGGGCGCAAATAGTTTAATAATGCATAAACTAAGGTGACTCCAAAGCCAAATGCACAGAAGAGTAAGCACTTTTTCATAATTATTTTGCATGAAGAGTTGTGAGCTTCGTCTCTGACCAAATTGAAGGATCCGTTAGCATTTGCAACGTTGCAACAGGCCATCCAGAGTTTAGTCAGCCAGTCTTCCAAATAGGGTAGGCTTCGTTGTTGCCGATGATGTCCGGTTGGAACCATACGAGGTAATTCGTGAGTGCCAATGTTCAGCTCAGTTGTAAAGAAGGAATTAATTGTGTCACGCCAAAGTGCATATCTGCTCATGAAGTAGGACTGTTGGTCTTTATCAAATGGATCCTGGACTTCATTAGCAAAGGTGAGTGCTATTACGGTATGTTTCCACAGTTGCTTTCCAAACACGCCTGTTAGATTTTTGATGGCCCTTTTGTCTGCGGGGTAAAAGCGTGCATCGTCCATCCTTAAACAGTAAATTATGACATCGATTTCTTTAGTTCTCTGTTGTACGTCTGCGAGATACAAGTCGTCTTTCTCTTCGCCATCTTGTAGGCCCGGAGAATCCCATACAAGGACATCAATCCCTTCAACGACTTTACAAAGGTATTGCTTGGCTTCACTGACACAATTTTGGTAGACAGAAAGAGCTTCTGATACAGCGACAGGTTTCCCCACTATAGCATTGACTAGACTAGATTTACCCACACCAAATTTTCCCATGACAAGGATAGTGAGATCCTTTTTGTAGTATTCACGAAACAACTCAGAGATGTGAGCTTGGCGGTCAACTTCAGCCATCTTGCTTTCGTTTCTGTGATTAGTAGACGAAAGAAATGAGGGGAGAAATTGTCATTTGATCTGCTTTGATTCCATGTTACATGAAAAGAAATAAAAGACAGACTCTTGCGCGTGCGAGACTGAACTATGTTATTGGCTTTTGATGGTTACCGTGGCAACAGATGTGGGGCCATGATCTTAATAGTATTTGTGGTTATTCAATTTTGACTTCCGTTTCTTCTTAGAATGTATGTCACAAAAAGGTATTTGTTTCCTGTGGTTTGTTGATATGCTGTCAAATTTCGCGTCAAATGCAGTTTTAAAATGTTTGAGAGTTAGAATACTTTAAAAGGGATGGACTGTTTAGTGTCTTCATTATTCTT